CAGCGTCACACAACACGTCACCAGCTGCATAATACCGTGAATCAGAGGCGGGGGTCGGCATTAATTTACAGGTAAAGGTAAACTCACCTGAAATATTTCTCCTGTCCCCGCTTGTCTCTGATGAATTATGGGAATGACACTGTAAACAGGCCGGGGAGCCGTCCAATTTGTTCCCTTCCTGTCCTGCACTTCTTTCTTCACCTCCCAAAACAGTCGGTCTCCACACTTACACACTCACCCAGACGGCGCAGAGGGTGAGAGCCAAGTGGAACAAAGGGAAATAGAGACGCAAACAGAGAAAAGCAAAGGCAGTCAATCAAAACGAACAGACAAAGTATAATTGACGTGATTGTGTGTTCTCTGTGAGGCTAAGTCTATGGCAAGCTTTTCTGAGGTTCGTATTTTTTTTACCTATGTAGATATTATTTTAAACCTCCAATAAATTATGCTTAATAACGGTAAAGAATTTTTGGTGTTGATTTGAACCTAACCTAACCTGTAAACATGGATTCCAAACAGGATTTATTCCCATATACATTATGAAAATTCCGTAAATCCTGCCGTAGGAAGGTCGGGAACTCCAGACAGTCACTGTGGTAGAGGCAGCAGTGTTTACAGCGTGACAAGTTACTGCTTACCCATTGTCATGCAAAACAAGGCTCTTGGTTTTTACGCCCAGGACATTTCTGAACATGTTTCGGTTACGGTATATACAACCTAACACTCTACCGTAGCCTATCAACAGTACAATGCATGGCTACACAATGCACTATTATCACACAACATTCCCAGGACAATAGCCACCACAGGCAGTCACAGGGTATAGCCGCTCCAATACAGCGGTTAATAAACAGACAGTACCACCCTTGTGTCTAATACTGCCATAGTTTAGGTTCTTTGGCACAATTATTACGAGGATTGAGAGAACCTGTTGCCGTTATCAGGGTCGCAGGGGGGCACTAGATGTGGTGAGGAGAGGTGTGGGTGGCAGACCGACTCATGTCCACGGAAAAAATATACATAAAAAATGAAAAAAAATAATATTATTACATATATATTACGCTTATGTAAATTGTGCCTTTGGGGGACTGCAGCTTAGTGAAGTTGTCTTGTATTGATCGAGACTTCATCACGGGGACTTGCCTACACAGGGACTAACCCACAAACGGATTCACCTAGACAGGGACTCGTCCACCTGCTGTGAGGGATAGGTGTGAGGGAACAAGTGTAAAGTAGGAGGGGCAGGTATAAGTTAGCAGGTGTAGGGCAGGAGGGGCAAGTGTAAGGCAAGAGGGGTAAGTGTGAGGGAGCAGGTGTGGGGCAACAGCAGTAGCACGAGCAAGGCAGCAGTAACAATAGGTGTGAGACAACAGCCAGCAGCAACAATAGCAGGTGTGAAGCAGCAACAGCGACACAACAGCAGCAGCAGTATCAGCAGGAAGGTGTTAACAGCAAGTGAGGGAGAGGGTAACTAGTGGCAGTAATTAGATATAGGGAAGTTGTGTCCCTCGCTCTACCCAACAAGAACTTGGCTCAGGCAACGACGCTCACTGTGTCGACCTCACTCAGTCAACACCTACGAACAGGAGGCGACTGTGTGTGTGTGTGTGTGTGTGTGTGTGAGAGAGAGAGAGAGAGAGAGAGAGAGAGAGAGAGAGAGAGAGAGAGAGAGAGAGAGAGAGAACACGGTAAACACACTTTTAAACAAGCACCTAGCACATTCACCCCCCTCCCCCACACACATCGTGTTTCAACAATTCCGGCGCCCCTATAACTCCAGGAGACTTAATAGGTTACAACGAGGCGTGACGAAGCCCCGTGAGTGGCTTGATAAACGATGATAGGCCCAGTCACCACACACCCTATTAAAAATAAGAGAGAGCATCAATTTACGGTGAAATCTCAGAAAATTTAAGAGTTAATGTAGCCGCCATCTTTGTTTCTTTCTTAAATGTGCCACTTAAAAATGCGCTCTTAAATGCGCTCTTAAATGACCAGTTGGGGGGGGGGGCGGGTGTATCGTGCAAAGTTTTAAAACACAATCCTCAAAATTGTAATAGCGGTATTTACATATAAGGTGTTTTATCATGGTGTTGGGGAGACAAGCATCACTGTTTTTGGTAGTTCACGAGCTGGAGCATCAATGTGAGGCTAATGGAAGTAACTTGTCCACTCAGAAATAACAAAGTGCCAATTTACAAGTCTGAGAAGTTGGGAAGTTTCGGGATGTAAAATCGTCCAGGTAAGTGACCCGAGATTACCCGCCAGAACTTATACTTGTCTCGGATTTGTTAACACATTATTTTTTTTAAAACTCTCGTCTATATAAACAATCTGATAAAAAAAAAACGAGCTCTTACCTGAGTGGGGAATATAACCGGAGCCGGATAATAATGACTCATTTCCGCTTGGACATCGTGAGACAGAATCCGGCTTTATAATGTGGCATATTTGTTGACTCAATTATGATGATTCGTATTATTTCATCCATCAATCGCACGATACAAGAGCCACTACAGGAAGTTATAAAAATAATAGTCACTTTCTTCCTGGTGTGTTTTACTGTACTAAAGTAGTCGTGGAAGTATTACTGTACCAATACTGTATCTATATACGTATACTAAAATATATCCCCGGGTGCAGAAGGTTCCAGGTAATTTAGTCAGCACGGGAGGAGTCAGAGCGAGGCCGGCCTAAGTACAGTAGGTCTCCCCTGTGGCTGTCCACACACTTCATCAATTAGGGAGAGTTTGGAGTCGCGCATCGTTTGACAGTCTCCGCCACAACTGCCCGAACCTGGTGCCCCTCCACCAGACTCCAGGGAGGGAGGAAGGTGACAGGTGAGAGAGGAGACCATCCAGTGTCCGGGAATGATCTCTGATGTTACCAAGCGGCGAACATCTCCAGCCCACGTCCACACTGTAGGTATTCTTCCTAGTGTTGTCATGAGAGTGAGACCACTACTACCGACCTCCTTACACTTTCACCTCACGAAAAACAAAACTGTCCTGATTCTTCTACTCTCGTTAAGTATTCACTAAACGGAATTGACGCCAAGAAATTTACATCCGTCTTGTGTCACTAGGCAGGTGTCTGTAATACACCTGGACATCTGCTGAAAACTACACTGTCAGCGGTTCCGGTGATTAATAACTATCCTTCTCTGATACGGCCAACGAGAATATCACAACTCAGCTCTCATCCTCTGGTCAATATTTTCACGCGTTAGATTACTGAACACAACACTAAACACCTTTGACAAGCAGACAATAGAACCTGAGGAGTCTAGCCTAGGTCAAGTTTTTTACAGTAAATTTACCTTTTAACTTTTGACTAAGAAAAAACGAACCGTCCACCCATCTTAGCTACAACGAACCGTCCACCCATCCTAGCTACAACGAACCACCCATCCTAGCTACAACGAACCACCCATCCTAGCTACAACGAACCACCCATCCTAACTACAACGAACCACCCATCCTAGCTACAACGAACCACCCATCCTAGCTACAACGAACCACCCATCCTAGCTACAACGAACCACCCATCCTAGCTACAACGAACCACCCATCATAACCTAAAACGGTCGGGCTGGCTATAAAATGAGTTTCTGCCGCCCCGCCCCCAGCCTTTGATAACATCATCAAACCACTTCACCAGGAACTGATCAAACATCTATCAGCCCCCGCCTCCACCTTCCGTGTTTATTAATAAAAGTGAAATAATTACATTAGAAACACCTTCATGTAGACGACATCGTGGAAATAATAATAACAACTTACCTCCCTCCCTCCCTCCCCCACTCACACAACCTGACTAAAACCCGTAAAACCCGCAGAAAAAAAGCTTTAAAAGAGTGTCCGAATTTCAGTGACATTTGGAAGGGATTTTCCACCTGAATGTCATCACACAGAACCTTGTTTACCGCAGTGTAATTGTTCGAGTTGGTCGTTCATGGCTGGCCAGTGTTGTAAGTGACCGTTCTCTCTCTCTCTCTCTCTCTCTCTCTCTCTCTCTCTCTCTCTCAAGCAGATATACAGATAAGCAAAATTTAAGAAATGTAATTAAAAAAACTGAATAAACAAATAAACACACAAATAAATGGATAAGTATATAACGTAAGGTAAATTCACACAGGTGGACGTGAAGGTATATGTAAAACACAACTAATTATTATTAAAGAAAACCACGTCACAATTATCCATCAACAAGGGTCCAGGTTTTTACCTGCCATAACACCCTGGGGAAAAAACCATTCCTGCCCTGAAATACTACGACCTGCCTGAAGAAGAATGGGAAAGTAATGATCTCGGTACACCTGACGCGGTAAGCTGAGAAACTGACAGGTAATCCGTCTGCTATTATGGACAGTAAGCCGACCATACGTCAACGGTGACCTCTGACCCCCTGTGTACCTCCCACTTAGGCTCGTCCCCCGCTCTCCACCCCAGGCGTCCTCCCACACCATGATTCTACCCTGTGAAAAGTGAGATACACACGTACAGTACAGTACAGTACAGTACAGTACAGTACAGTACAGTACAGTAAGGTAAATGAAGAGTTCGTTGCAGACGCTACACCTAGTTGAAAATCTTGGATCACATGAATATAAGGCAACCCAGCTTTATTTTAACCGATGATTAAACACCCTAACGCTTCCTGGGGCGTTAGGTTAGCGGTGTTTAATCATCAGGTGAAGTAAGCTGAAGTCTTCCCTAAGACACAAAGCTAAAGATTAGAACTTCTATACTTTACCCCCCAAGATACACACGACAACCTTCAATAACTTATCCAACCAGAAACATCTTTGTCTCACACTTTACGGCTTCAGACTCTTGTGGCAGCCTATGTTTCACTCCCTGGGTCAATCTTGTCCCACAAAAACCAATCGTCATCCTTCCGTACGGCAAGAAACAGCAAAGAGGTCGTAGATAATTATATTGCTGAAGAGAAAATCACAATAAGACAACAGGTACTGGGACAAGTTCTCGTGTACTCACCTTTGGCCATCTCGTCAATTCTGGGTGGGAAGCCTTCGTCGACGCCTCCCACCACAGAAAACCCGAAGCGACGGTCAGCTGGGCCCAGGAACAGATTGATCTCTGCAACGCCCACCTGAGTAAGGAAGAACCAGGTGATCAGACTGGTGAAGGTTAAACGGGCTTCTGTAGTGTGGATGGCCGTGCTTGTTAGTTAAATAATGGTGTTTGTTAGTACAGGTATAAACTGTATTACTAGTTTATTGAAAATTTTTTACTCCCACACACCGCACAGGACGCTGAAGGAGACTCTACCGCCTTACATTACTTTGTATGACATTTGTACAAAAAGTTATTCTTGGAGGATTATAACTACTGGTACGTATATCACTTGATGGCATTAATTTGTACCCAAGAATCCATCAAGTGGAATAAGATACAAAATAATCCGCTATTCACGAACCACAGATTCCACAACGTTGGGAAAAATCCTGCAGGTTGGTGAGCCACAATATTACTCCTACAGGAAGTTCCCGTGAGAGTGGAGATGACAAACAGGGTTATAACCGTGTGTGTTGTGCAGAGTCACCGAGTAACCCGGGGTGTGGTTACAGTGTGGTGGCGGGTGTGTCAATAATGCCATGATTATTGCACAAGTTGCAGGTGAAAATATTTGGGATGTCTAAGAAAAGATTCGTGAACTGAGGAGAAGTTAACCATCTACCGGGCTGTACTCATGAGAGATAACAGAAGGCGGAGTGTAACGTTACTGGGAAAGTTAAGACAATTAAGACACTTATAAACAAGTCCAGCGTTACATATTGTACGTGTTGATGATGGCAGAGTGTGATTTTTGTGGTGGTTTTGCGTACGTCAGGTGGATGTAACTCACATTCTAAGACTTGCTTTTTATTGGAGCCAAAGTTAAAAACCATCAAGAATGAATTAACCAGAAAGGATGAGAGAGAGAGAGAGAGAGAGAGAGAGAGAGAGAGAGAGAGAGAGAGAGAGAGAGAGAGAGAGAGAACGGTTGTTTTCGTTAACTCATTTAAAGACGATGTAACTGTATGAACATGGTGGCGGCGGAGGAGTCATCACACACACAAACATTCTACTCACCATACAGTTCTTTCAAGGAATTTAAAATATTTGATGGGGAGTTTGGCCGTACTACACTAGCTCATCAAGGGTCAATGGGTGTGTAGCGAGACACTGCGGTGGTAGACAGATATTAAGTTTAGATGGTGGTTATAACTAGAATAATTCGGCCTGGAATATTGAAGGTGGCGTTATTTCAGATTAAACAAGACAAGAAGTTTCTGAACTCACCCCGTCAGGAGACTTCGGAGGGAGAAGGTCCATATTGTCGACGAGGGAGCGTGAGTGTGTGTGTCTGGGGGCGGGCAAGGGCTGCAGCTCGTCCCCCACCAAAGATTTGCTATGGGTGTGGCGGGGGCGCACCACCCCCTCCACGCTGGGGGGCACTACGGGCATCCCTAGAGGCTTGGGAACATGGCTCACTATCTCCGGACCGAGGCTGTGGGGCGGCTTGTGGCAGTGTGGGATCACATCAGGACTATCCAGGAGGTCAGGCGGCATGGACCCGTTCACTGTCACTGTGCCGTTGGTCTTGGTGGGCGTGACCAACACAGACACGCCGCCGCCCACTCCATTTGTGCCGTTAACGTGAATGGTGCCGTTGGCGTGGCCGTTGAGGCCCATCAGGGGTGGAGAGCCCTGCCCGCCTCCAAACGTCGAGAACGTGGACAGACTGCGTGGGTTCCAGTCCTGCAACAAACAAGGGTCATTGTTATTGAGTTTACCACATAACACATACATGAAAATACTTATACAGAGGGACACAATCTATACCAAACACAAAGTCTCGTGTATCAGTATTACAAAAAATAAGGGTATGTAATCTGCCCCATACAAACCTCGATAAACAAGTATACACGACGCAACTCATCTCTATTGAAGACACCAGCAAGAGACTACAATACGTGACTATCGCATCACTGACGAAGCACAACAACTCTTTTTATCTCACACTAAAGAGCTGCCCATCAATCTTTTCAAGCAAAGTCTTTTAATAATTCCATTCAAGAGGTAAACAGACACCAAGATAAGACTTACATGAAGACCAAAAGGATCGGGCGAGAAATAATAATTCAGATACTTATTGAAACATCATCAGCTTGTGTGAAAATTTTTGCATCTAAAACATACATATACAATCTACCCTGACGTATACAGTAGTGTTCGAAGGCCTGAGGTGGGCACATACAAGGAATTTGCAGTTGACCGATTATTTTATTGGCCTTGAATTCAGTGATACGAGTAATAATTCCTACAGTTCAGTGGGATTTTTTTCACTGCTGCTTTATCCACAGGTTCAAGAAAGTATTGATAGCAGAGTAACTGTATTTTCAGATCATCATTCCCCACATGATGAATCATTATGTATTTAGTCTGAAAGTTCGTGAAAATCATTTACTTGAAAAAAGTGTCGACCCATTTCTACTCTTTACTGTTGTAACGTAAGAGATCGATTTAAAATACGAATATATATGAAAATCTTAAAACTTATAAGTATGTGAAAATATCGTGCATGCACAGTCCTTTAAAATAAAATAAATGATATTATTTTGACGAGTTACCCCGAGTAATTAAACATTTTCTGTAACACATTTGTATGAGAAAACTAAGTTCGTTGTATGACAAACTTATAAATTTGTATTTTCTCTCGAAATGTCCCAGTAATCAAACTTGTGCGAAGGTTAAGCAGTAATATCGATATTAAGTTATAACAGCATTACTGACCCAGGGTTGAGAAACGTCTGGGAGGCTGACGACAGACTGTGCTTCAAAGGCAGTGAACTGTCCCTGAAATCTAATACTGGACACTTATGTTGCTATATTATTATACTCAATCGTCGTTATGCGACATAGTGAAAAAATCCTTAAAATATACAAAAGCAATTAAGATAGAAAGTAATAAACGATGAAAATTAATCAAGTTCCTCTGTCCTAAATATCAGTTAACTAACATTTGCTCTAAGTTCGCTTTTATTCGGTGTTTTTTACTGTTATCCTAAAAAGACAACAAAAACACATAACTACACCAGTAGCTAATGACTGAACCTCCCGAAATTAAACTAACCACAACCCCAACACTTGCCGCCCCACCAAATTCAAACCCAACTGTCTCAGTTAACGTCAATATCCAGTTATTAGCGTAAACGATTAGCCCCCGTTCACTGACAACCGTAATAATGTTAAAGGAATAACTTAAGAGTGTATGCTATTTATATTCTGTAACTTCAAGGCAGTAGTTAATTATTGTGGTTATGAAGAACGAAAATAGTGAGGTTTCTGGATTTATAGATTCCGTATCCGCTTCCAAACACTAATGTTTTTTTAAGCACGTATACAGGTATTTATGTTAGTAAACACATCAATCATTAACAATTAAACACAAAGATTCACCTCACTGGTTACAAACACTAAGTAACTTCAACTTTATATAATTTATGAAGACCCATAGATTGCACATAACCCCGTATTATATAATGATTATTACCAATGTTATGTGCGTATTACACACACACACACACACACACAGTTCCTTACATAAAAGAAAGAATCAACCAAGCTTGACTCTGCCTAACACTGAACAAAAAACTTGCAAGACATTCCCAGGTTGAAGTAACTCCACCACCCCTTCACCCCCCAGCACCCCCACGACCCACCCACCTGCCCCTGGCCATCACAGAACAAGCATCAGATTACCGTCGGCAGCACTCAGCACAGGCCACACCTATCAAGTGGCTACCAAGTGTTGTAATGAGCTTAATTCCATCGCCCGTATACTCTGAGTTCTTTTAGCATCTATTTGACTCAATTTAAACCAAAACATTTTAACTAAAGCTCAAAATGGCGTTATATTTACACAAAGATCGTTGTTTAAAGAAAGTTTGTCCGCTAAACGCCACAAGTTATGGGACAATATTATCGTTCATGACCTCTGTGAATCCGACTCCTGGCTTGGGTGGATTGACACATCAGCCTCGATATCAAAGTAATCTCGTGTTATTTAAGTAATATTGGTATGAGTATGAGTAGTGGTATGAGTATACATTATCTTGTGAAAACTAAATTATATGTAGCGAAAAAAAATAAAATCGCTGTATAGAAGAAAAAAATCCAAACGTGGATTCTCCGCCTCATGCATCATTTTGAAATCATTCTCTGAGATTTCAAAATAATAATGGTAGACTCAGGATCATCGTACAGTTACGTCACATCATAAATATTACGAAAGATATATAAATGTCTTGAATAAAGACGAAAGCTAAAGTGCTCCATTGTTTCCTGTGTGATTTTATCGAGATTTATCCTGTCCACCTTTCTATTGTGGATCTACATGATATATACAGTATATGTTCATGACCTGACCTCATGTTTAGTAAGGTCACCCTGTGGACTTAAGACTCTCTTGGTCCTTGTAATTCTGTTGCCTCTGAAGATGTCTTGAATAAAGACGAAAGCTAAGGTGCTCCATTGTTTCCCTTTTTCCTGTGTGATTTCATCAATATATATATATATAATTATAATAAATTAAAAAAAAAAAGAAATTGGATGATAAGAAATTTAATAACTTTGGGTTATAACACAACAATCTGGAGTCCTAAAAAACAACTTCACGCCATCACCCTTTTTACATTAAAATAACTCGAGATTATAACAAAAATATGAAATTTAGATCAAAATAATAAAAAAAATTAAAGTGAGAAAAATAACAGAATCAACAAAGAACGAGAGAGAGAGAGAGAGAGAGAGAGAGAGAGAGAGAGAGAGAGAGAGAGAGAGACTGACTTTGAAGTATAAGACTTACTGCATACTTCAAAGTCACTCTTAAGTTACTCGGTGTTGCCAGAGACCTGCGCAACTGACTTAAACATGGAGGACACGCAACACGACTACTGTACTCAAGTCCGGATACACAATAATTCCGAAGATTAAGTTTTTCCCCGGACTGGTTTTAAGAACATCAATATATTTAAGGCTCGAGTCTCCGTGTAATATTAATACCACGTTATTTTTTCCCCTAAGTGTAGATCAGAACATGACTCTACCGAGGCTAAAGTTTCAATGTAATTTTAGTGGAATTTCGTTTTTCCCGTAAAGTTTTATAAGTTTGGGTCTTACTGCAATTATTTACCCCAAACTGATGTTAAGAGAAGGAATCTCACTGGAGATGCAACGTAATATTGACGCCATTGTGGGTGTTAGTCTCGCGTCATGCCTTAATGGTGGAGCCAGTGATTGTGTCTTACAGTTACGAAGACAATTTGATGTATGATTTTCGATTAAACCTAAAACACAATGTCGGAGAATTAACAGCTCAAAAGTTATTTGTGTTTTTGGGAGAGTTTAATAGCCTCAGTTTGTCTCTCCTGACCTGACTGGTGGAACTGTTTCGATCAGAAAACATCTCCCGCCTTCTGGCCTTTACAGCACATGCTTAGCGTAGCCTGAATGACGCAGCACCTCCAATTAACCTGGCCACCTCAGATACCTTAACAGGATGAAATACACAAGAACAATTTCAAAGTAATTTGTTTTTTTACACTCATGTACGAAAGTTGTGTGTGTGTGTGTGTGTGTGTGTGTGTGAGGGAGACAACACGAACGACAGCAGGAAAACATTCCACAAAGATAATAAACCTGTTATCCAATCATGTTTGTCTTAATGTCCGGCTCTGCAGTCCTTGTCCCCAACCCGGACTTCCAAAGCTTAGTGGGTTATTAAGACAGTACCGAACTGGCTCATTTAAACTCCAAAATCAACGTGACAGTCAAATTTCCTCGTATCTTCATCGAGACTGGACCTTAAATTTTTTCACCATTACTGAATACATAAGGTCAATTTTCGTTTTCATTCCCGCAGAATTATTAATATTATGTTGGGTGTATACAGGTTTCTTGTTGTTCTCGACTTCCAGTAGGAACAATAAACACAGCCAACAGTGTAGCTCCGAGGTACAGCATCAGGCACTAGCTGATAAATTCGATGCCTTGATAATTAATAAACACAAAAGGTGAATGTGACTGTCGGAGATATAGACATCAATCAGTTTTGCTGGTGATGAGAACTACAAATATGGCTAGAATGGCTATTAGGAGGCATTACTGTTTATATGTGTACTCTCTATACAAATGTGTTTTTTTTTCACTTTAATCAAGGGCTTTGTGGCCATAAAACTATTAACCATTATTTTCTGATAAATCCTGAATGATCTGGGCTACTGACCTTTAATCTAACTCTGATTATTAAGGACAGACTGGTGAGAACTTGATGCGTCTGGTGTAGTAATGGATAGAGTGAGGGATTACATAGAACACATTGGTGAAAGTCTGATGACATTTTGAACCATCTGAAGGAAGTTTGTACAAAATGCAAAAGGTTCAATGTTAAACTAGCTGCAGAAAAAGAAAAGCCTGTATTAACTTTGATACTGTGACTAAAATATTTCAGTCAGTATAGGAAATCTGCTATAATTCATTTAGAAAAAGGCTTAAATATTTTGAACATGACCTCATAACTTTCAGAAGAAATCGCAACCGTCCACAGCGCAGCTTTGTAAACAAACATAACCGTAACCAGACAATGTGGCCAGATGTGTCCATTCACCTCTTGCTCCCTGGTGAAAAAATAATATATTTAATGTTTTTCTACGGACTTGCGGTTTATTTTAAGAAGCCTCAAATGTATATAACTTTAT